AAGGCATCTCATTCCATTTATTTGTAACCTATTGAGTTGTTGCTAGATTACATTTTATTAGTCCCTTATTATCATGCAGGATTCTTAAAACATAGGAATAGAAAAAAAAAACAAGACTGGAATGTTGTGCAATTAAAATCCTATAGAATCTAGAATGTGGAGAAGTTAGAACGGAATAATAAGAAATTTGTAACCGTTTTGATCTTTAGATTTTAGTCGTGGATTCTAGGTATTTGAGTTTTTTTTCCAAAACGTAATCATTGGGTTTTATGATGTCCTACACTTCTAAATGGAACACTCATACACGTGCAAGGTCTCCATCCTATGCCGGCCCAAATTTCGTGCATACATACTCTTACAAAATCAGGTCCACAGGAGGAACAACAACACAGAGAGACAATCCCACCTTCTGCCCTAGCTGGAGGGCAAGAAGTTGCATGGGCTAGGGGTGGGAATTCAGTCTGACCCTATATTTCGGGTTGATCTTTTCAATGTTTCGAAAATCGATCTTTGAAAATTATAAATCGATCTTAGTATCATAACAAAACGAGACCACGGCTTGGTTATCCGGACAATTGGGTAAGTTCTTCGGTTTGACTGGCCTTAGGGAACAGAGTTGGGGTGACGAGGAGAGGTCAAGCATCAGACAACTATTTGGAAGAGCAAAAGGTGCAAAATGAAACAATACCACATAGATCTAGGCATCTAGCCCCTGCTCACAAATTGAAGGTCTTTGAGGAAGCAGATCCATTGAAAGGTCCTAATGACTAGAATGGGTGAATAGCCTATTAAAAATTTCTACAACAACATTTAGCAAATATGTTAGACAATTAAACGACGAAGCGAGTGTTGCGCTAACATACTAAAAAAACAATCCACCTACCAAAATTCTAGTGTCTATGATCTCTAATCACACAATGGCTATGTCACTACACTAAGTTAGTGTGCTCTCAAAGACTAATTAAAGAGTCACACTAACCACTAGACCCGATACAAGCTTGCTCTAAAAAATAATTACACTAAAGAGCGAAGCAACATTAAAAATGTAAATGCAAGATAGGGGATGTGATGATTATACCGCCGTGTAGAGAAATTGAGCCAATCACAATGATGGAGCCAATCAATCACAATGAATACCAAGAAATCCTTGGACAAGATGACACAAGATTTTTTTACCAAGGTTCATTTGCTTGCCGGCAAGCTAGTCCTCGTTGTGGCGATTCACTCACTTAGAGGTTCACGCGCTAATTGGCATCACAAGCCAAACCCACAATAGGGTGCCACACAACCAACACAAGATGAGGATCACACAAGCCATGCGCAATCCACTAGAGTATCTTTTGGCTCTCCGCCGGAGAAAGGTCCCGAACCCCTCACAATTAACACAATCGGAGCTGGAAGACAAGCACCTTCCTCCGCTCGACGATCCTCGCTACACTAAGCCGTCTAGATGGCGGCATCCACCAAGAGTAACAAGTGAATCCCACAGCGAAATATGAACACCAAGTGCCTCTAAATACAATCACTCAAGCAATGCACTTGGATTCACTCCCAATCTCACAAAGATAATGAATTAATGATGGAGATGAGTGGGAGGACTTTGGCTAACCTCACAAGGTTGCTATGTCAATGCAAATGGCCAAAAGAGTGAGCTTGAGCCAGCCAAAAACCTTTTATAGAGGCTCCATCTAAATAGAGCCGTTGGGCTCACACAACAGCCCAACTAGCGCTGATTGGACGCGCCGATCAGAATGACCAGACGCACCCGGTCTAGCGTCCGGTCGCGGGATCTTTGCAACGTGTCTTTCCTTCAAATACGTGTTGCCCGATCTCCAACGACTAACTCGCTACCGCGCTCGCGTTAATGAAGGACCGAACGCGCCGATTCAGTGACTGACGCGCCAGCCCCCACGTCTGATCAGTTCAACCCCGTGCGCAGTCAACAGACGACCGGACGCGCCGATCAACTCGGCTTCCCAACGTCAGGTCATTTCCAGAGAGCTCCCCGAGTGGTAAAACGTCGACCGGACGCATCAGGTCCATACTGACCGGACTCAGGCCAGCGTCTGGTCCTGCTTTCACCTCTGCACGCCAAGTTTTGTGTCAGACGTCAGCATACGTTACCTGTGACAGGACGCAGGCCCTACTCGTCCGGTCACTTTCACTGTGCAGCGTTCGGTCGCTGAACCGACTGAGCCCGAGCGTGTGAACACTTTTATAAATGACCGGACTCACCACCTCAGCGTCCGGTCACCTCGAGTTCAGTGTCCGGTCACTGATTTTCAGTGAAAAACACCTCCTTCACTTCAGCAACTTCTCCACCCTTGCTCAAATGTGTCAACCACCATGTGTATTAGCTTGTGTACACGTGTTAGCATATTTTCATAAACATTTTCAAATGTGTTAGCACTCCACTAGATCTAAATGCATATGCAATGAGTTAGAGCATCTAGTGGCATTTTAATGACCGCATTTCGATACGAGTTTCACCCCTCTTAATAGTAAGACTATCGATCCTAAATGTGATCACACTTACTAAATGTCTCGATCACCAAATCAAAAAGTTCCTATCAAGATTTCACCTTTGTCTTGAGCTTTTTGTTTTTCTCTTTCTTTTTTTTCCAAGTCCAAGCACTTGATCATCACCATGGTCACACCATCATCGTGATCTTCAACATTGCTCCACCACTTAGAATAGTGTACCTATCTCATGATCACTTTGATAAACTAGGTTAGCACTTAGGGTTTCATCAATTCACCAAACCAAACTAGAGCTTTCATCCATGGAGGTCGTTGTATGAGAAGCCTCGCTTCGAGCAACCACGAATGCACCATCGCCTGGCGACATACCACATATGCACCACCACTCTCCGCCATTCACGGTGGAGGAAGTCAGTGGGGACGAGCGTCAGAGCCTCTACGGACGCGCCGCTATCGCGATGCTCGGTGGAGAAAGTGGATGCATTGGGGGGTCATGCAGCCTGTTGGTGCTCTATGGAGGAAGTCAATGGGGACAGGGGATGTGCTGCCGCCTGCCGTGCCCAGCCAACTAGGGTGGTGGCGTCCTCAACGACAATCTACAATGAGGAGGGAAGGCCGAAGAGGAGCATGAGATGGAGGACGTGGGGGACTACGATTGAGTATAGGGACACGTGGATACTAGATAAGTCACTGAGGGTTGGAGGAAATAAGTTAGAGTCGCTGATCAACGGTACATCGTGACCAAACAACATAAGCATAACGGTATGGGCAAAACAAAAACCGAGTTAGGGATTGATGATGAAATATCGATATTTCCGGGTTCGGTCTCTGTTCCTTTTTGCCCACCCCTAGCACGACCACCTTTCGAAGCAGCTCAATTTGTTCGTGGTGCATGAAAGGGTGTTGCAACCAAGCCAACAGTTGGATCCTCGAATACGATTCGAGTCGATGCGCTACAATGCCGAGACGAAATGGATTAGGTACATCCTATGGCACGTCGACCACGTTGACCCTCCACCTCGCTCTGTACGGAGATGGGCAGAGAATAGAGGATGTCAGTGTATGACTCGTGGAAGCTAGATGAATCCCTCATATAAGATACAAATTATCGAAAATTTCCCTCATATAAGATCGAAATTAGATCCTTTCAATTTTTAGTGTTTTTTTTATTAAAAATCCAAAGGAGCCCCTCGACAGGCGAGTACAGGTTGCCGTGGCTGACGATCTTCATGTGCTGCAGTAACCTCTCATCAGCGACGTGGTCAGTGGAAGAACTGAAGCGTCACATCAACGCCGGCCAGCATGATCTGACGTGCAAGTGTAGGTGCAGCAGCAGTAACCGTCGGTTGTGAAACGAGCTAGGCCTTTTTTGATTGGGTTAGGAATTAGTATTTATCACTGTACAACACTTTCGTTTATATTTAATAATTATTGTCTAATCATAGTTTAACTAGGCTCAAAAAATTTAAAAGATTCGTCTCGTAATTTACAATCAAACTGTGTAATTAGTTATTTTTTTATCTACATTTAATACTCCATGTATGTGTCTAAAAATTTAATGTGATGAAGAAGAGAATGAAAAACTTACAATCTAAACCAGGCCTATGACATGATCGCTTTACCAAGCAAATCAATCATGTGGCTATGCTATGGCTTTTACCAAAAGCGCTTGTCAACTCCAACCTGCTGGGCTGGCTTCTGTCCTGCTGCTTCTGCTTCTCCTCCTCCGTGTCCCGTTACTCTCCCGTACAGCCGCAGCGTGCTCCTCAACCTCGCTAAAAGCCAACTAGGGCCACGTTTAGACCTCGTTTAGTTGTTCTCAACTTTAACTTTGGCACTATATAAAAAAAAGATTTTCCGTTACATCAAATTTGTGGTACATACATGAAGTATTAAATATAGATGAAATCAAAAACTAATTACATAATTAGGTTGTATTTTGCGAGACGAACGTTTTGAGCCTAATTAGTTAACGATTAGACAATTATTACCAAATATAAACGAAATGCTACCATGCGTACAGTGAATCCGACGACGCTGAATTCGGCCTACTAAACAAGGCATAATGCCAAATTCCTGAATTTGGCACTATGCAAAAATTCACATCAATTTGCATAGATACGTCAAAAGATTAAATATTGATGAAATAAAAACTAATTGTGACAATTTAATGTGATTTTGAGATTAAATATTAACGAAATAAAAACTAATTAGACAATTATTACAAAATACGAACGAACATGCTTACGTTGTGCTACAGTACCTGGGTTGCCGGCGGCGCCGAATCTTGCCTGAACTAAAAGCGGCTAGTAGTAGTAGCGTGCTGCCCTCTCTTTCTCTCCCTCTCTCACCACGCACGCACAAAGCAGAGCAGGCAACGGCACAGCACAGTAGACAGAAAGCCAAGCGCAGAGCCAAGAAACAGAGCAACAACAGCAGGTCGAGGAAGAAGAGGAGAGAAGGCCAGGAGGCAGCAACCAAGGAGGGGAAGGGGAAGAACAAAGAGCAAGAGGGGCAAGATGCTGCGCGGGGGAACGAGCGTGCTGGGGATCATCAACTTCATCACCTTCCTGATCTCGATCCCGATCCTGGGCGGCGGCATCTGGCTGGCGTCGCGGGCCAACTCCACGGACTGCATCCGCTTCCTGCAGTGGCCCATCATCGTCGTGGGGCTCGTCCTCATGGTCATCTCCCTCATGGGCTTCGCCGGCGCCTGCTACCGCCAGACCTGGCTCCTCCGCCTCTACCTCTTCGCCATGTTCTTCGTCGTCCTCGCCCTGCTCTTCTTCATCGTCTTCGCCTTCGCCGTCACCGACCGCGGCGACGGCCAGGTCGTCATGAACCGCCGCTTCCCCGAGTACCAGCTCTCCGACTACAGCGGCTGGCTCCGCGACCGCGTCGCCGACCCGCAGTACTGGGCCACCATCAGCGCCTGCCTCCGCGACGGCCACGCCTGCGCCGGCATGCGGCGCCTCGCGCGGGACCCCAACACCGGCATGCTCGTGCCGGAGACGCCTGCCATGTTCTACGGCCGCAACCTCTCCCCGATTCAGGTCCTCTTTTTAACCCCCGCCCCCCCCAATCCCTCCTCGCTTTCCTTCTTTATCTTCCTCTTTCTCTTTGTCCCCATCAAAAGGGGGGAAAAGATTCGTCAGTTCTTGCCACCCTTGCTTCCCATGCGCGATTCATTTGATTTCCATGTGTGATTCAAAAATTCCTCCGCCAAGGAAAGATTGGATTTTATTCAAGTTTTATTGTTCTACTAGTGCACAAAAGTCGGGATTTTGTGATGATTCAGCGATTTAGTTCCACCATTTAGTTTTGCTGCTGTCCTCTGCAGCTGCTAGGTAGTAGTAGGTAGTACTAGTTTAGGGGGAAACAAAAAAAAGGCTGAATTTTTTGTATCAATTTTCCATGGAAAGAGGTCATCAATCAAGAGGGTAAACAATAATCATCCAGGTTCTTCCTGACCTTTCATTGCTTGTTGCAAAGGTGGCGTAGGATATTCCAGTTACTTCTACTCGGCACCAGTGTGGATCTCGAGATGAACTTTGCTTGCCCTTTCATCAGCAGCCAGCCCCTTTCGCTTAGCAAGTCATGGCCTTTACTAGTATTTAATTTGTTTATTCATCGTGCAGCAGCTTCCACCTTTCAGAAATTGTTAATTCATCGGCCCTTTTGCTTGTTCCTGATTTGGGGCAAAGCAAAGCAGCTAGAAGGGTCACTGACTTTGGCAGCCCCTTCGATTCCAGCATATACCTTTCTTCAAAAGCAATCCTTTTCCCTGCTTTGTTTACTTTGGTTCTCTGAATTGCTTTACACCACGGGAAGAAATTCCTTGCATAATTCTGTAGCAGGTGCCTGTAAGTACAGACGCTTTTGGTTGATTAGAGACTCAAATCATGGATGTAGAAACAAATCTGCATCATCCATTCCATGATGGTGAAACATGTCACTGATATTTTTCACTAAACAAACTTGGAACCACATATCTCTCAAAGAAAGTGACCTTTTTCCATTGAACAAATTTTTATACTTGTACCTCCCAACTGTACACAGTACACCTAAGACGCTTGACCAGTAAGCATCCCCATGACTCATTGGTCAATTGAGAGTCGTGGTGCAGTCAGTTATTTACCCCCTCCTGTCACCACTGCAGTGCATATGATGAGCAGCACTGGAGTTGACACTATTGCAGTGGTAAGTAGAATCTGGTGTCTGTGGTGAGGCTAAGGATAATGTCATTGTCCTAGCTTTTTCTCATCTTTACGGATACCAGACGACAAGGAGGCCCACAATAATTTTATGATTGAGGAATCAGGGCCTCTCTCAGCGTCCTACCAAATACACCAGTGTGGCCAGGACAGCCAAAATCCACTTGCTAGTGTTACATTTCAGAGTTGGAATTGGGACCATGGAAGCCTTACCTTGCTTGTCATTATATTCTCTATGCTGTCTTTTCTTGCCGTGAGTGTTTTCCTTTTCCTCGTTACTCACAAATTACTTGCAAATATACATTTTGCCTTTTGGTTATTTTCTGTAGAGATGATACTCTACATTACATGTGTTTATACTGGGACACAGAATATCTTATTGTTCATGTTGAATGACTTATTGTATATGATGGTTGGTCAGTGGGTGGAGTAAAAATGTAAGGGCTTGTGACAATTGTTCATTTGATATCTGTTGCAGTGTACAGGCACCCATCAAATGCTCATTAAATTTTTGGTTCTGTAGTGGTGTTAGTTTGTTTTTTCTTGTGCGTGCACACATATGTATTAGGTTCTTCAGATTGTAGTTATACAGGCTTGGATAGTTTCCTAGTGAGTATGGGACCCATTTAAAAAAAAAATTAGTCGTCAACTTCTATCTTGATTGGGAGGCCAAGACATTGTTAGTCTAGGTGATGATAATAATGGATAACTGATGGCCATACTGTCCAGCCCGATGCTATCAATCTCATAAGGAACTTATTGCCATTTTAGTGCTACTGTTTTTGCTCATCTCAATTATTGTTTGATGTAGATTTCTTTGAAAATAAACTGTTTTCTGACTGTTCTGTCAAAAAATTTGGAAGTTAATTAGCTGTAAGAGATTTTTAGTTCAGAGGCCAAGTATTTCAAGACAATGATCTGTCTTCAAGCTCTTAAACAACATACTGCTTCCATGTTACATTTTGGTTTTGCTAGTGAAATGAATTTTGGGTTTACCAGAGTGACTTCTTTGTCTCTCAGAGTAACAGATTGTGTGGTCTCTCAGGATACAGTTTGTGTTCATTTGAGTTATTTTTCAATGTAAATTTGCTTGATGATACATCATATTTTATGTCTGAGTTGCGATGTTCAACTGCCTGCAAGAACTTGAGTTTAGACACTGAGTATCTCTTGTTGATGAGCTCTCAGACTCTTAAGCAAGCATAAATGTTTTTTGATTCTTGCGTGCTATATTTGATTTAGTTGGTAGAATTAGTTTCTATGTTTACAGAATTGCATTGAGTTCTTTTTCTCTCAGAACAACTGATTAGCCATGTGATTTCTCAGGATACTAACTGATATCATTTTTGTGATTGACTACTGCAGTCTGGATGCTGCAAGCCACCGACATCATGTGCATTCACCTATATGAACGAGACGTACTGGACACAAAACCCTGGTGTGCCGACTGTGATCAATGACCCTGACTGCAGCAGGTGGAGCAACGACCAGCAGATGCTGTGCTTCCAGTGCGACTCGTGCAAGGCTGGTGTCCTCGCAGGCATCAAGAAGAGCTGGCGCAAGGTGGCCATCCTGAACATCGTGGTGTTGATCATCCTTGTGATTGTCTATGTCGCGGGCTGTGCCGCGTTCCGCAATGCCAAGAGGATCGAGAATGATGAGCCGATCGGCATGGCGCGGATGACCAAGTCCCATCCAAGCAGGTTCCAGTTCTAGGCAGCTGCTGCGGCGGGTTCGGAAGCTTTTGCCTTGTACAAATGATGGTGGTGCTAAGGCTTGGGCTTTATTATATATCTTACTGAAATGTGGATTCTACTGCATTTGGTGGTGAAAAGGGGAAGTTCAGTGTGGTTTGAGTTTGTGTTTGCTTTAGTGTTTAGGGTAGGCCTATTATGTGGTAGGGGTACAATATGAGATCTGCAAGAAACAAGAGAAGTTAAATCATCTAGGAGCTGTTCTGTATTGGAGATTTTTAAATTCTGGGGGATAGTTGTATGATGGTGCCAGCCATGATGGAATATTTTCTGAATATCTCACTTTATGGCAACACTAGAGGTATGATGAGATGGCTGTACTGCAGCTTCCAGTAGGAATGTAGGTTTCTTCACAAATTGTTTTTTTTTTCTTCACAACTGTTCACTGCTCAAGTTACAGCCAGGCACGTGTTTTGCTTCAGCTTTGTGAGATAACAGTATGTGAGCACTCTGATGGCTGTTGCAATTTGTCAATTGTCAGTGGCCAAGGCCCAGGTGGTCTCTGTGGGCCCTCATTTCAGCCTACAAAAACCCTTTTCTGAGTACCAACCATGCAAGCCCACCAACAAAAACACATCCAGGCCCATAAGTATATACAGGCCGGAGTTCTAATAAGTATATACAAGCCCACCAACAAAACACACGTGCAAATTAGCATCTGAGGCCCATCACAAATCTTTTACAAGATCCATTATATTGCCAAATTTCACGTCGTCGGAGTTCTAACGAAGTCAGTGCCAGAGTCAAGCTTGACTGCATAAAAAACGTATGATTGAGCTCACTTTACCCTTTATTATGCCCATCCAAAAGAGTTCTGAAAGGGTTAATACACACGTCAACAACACAGCACATGCATGGCATGCCAGTGAGAATGCAGGGACTAACTGATTGGCTGACTGATTTGATCAGACAGCAGAAAATAAACCCCCCAGCTCACTAGCATGTTACCCCTGGTAATCCAACTATTGACATGTAGACATTAGACAATGCAAAGAGGAATTTGATTAAGACAGGGACTGACTAACCCATGTGAATGTGCAAGACTGAAGTGGAACCAGCTAAAGCAGTGTGCACTTGGCATGCATCTGGAGCGGCTCATTTCTCCGGTTCAAACGCAGCACTTTGATCCTATGCAGAAAAACCCGGCGCCCTCATGCATGCTGCTTTGTTCTGTAGCAGGGAGTCAAAGGCTGCACTGACTGCTGTTGACATTTCTGCTTACGATGTTCAGCAGATGGTTGAGTGTCCCCTGATGGAGAGAACAGACAGCAGGTCTCCTAGACTCCTACAATTCTGGGCCGGCGGAAATATCTGAACTGGATGCCAACGCCATGCATGGTTGCGGCGCGTGCATGCACGCATTTCTGTTCATGCATGGATGGCAATCTGATTGATGGATCACGCGTTTAATTAGCATGTGGATTGATGGGTAGTTTGGTGTGGATTTTGGAGCCATTTGCAAGCATGTTCGATGTGTTGTTTATCTTTCCAGCTGGGTAAGGCGGCACTCCTCGTCAATGTTGTTAGGTTGTTTGTTCTTTTCTTTTTCCTTGCTTAGACATATGAACTGCGCTACTATGATTAGACATAACTCGAAAAGGTTCAGTCTCTGCATGAACTTTCTCATGGATGTGAACTCCTTTTTCAGTAAATAAACGAGGTTCACAGTCTCTACATGAACTTTCTCATGGATGTGAACTCCTTTTTCAGGAAGTAAACGAGATTCAGTCTCTGCATGTACTTTCTCATGGATGTGAACTCCTTTTTCAGTAAGTAAACGAGCTGCTGATCAGTAAGATGATGGCTACGTGTACCTCAAGATGCTCATGCAGAGTGTTGGTGTCTCGTATGCACACGATTATTATTGAACCGTAAGTGCATTATGCAGTTATAGCTTTCTCCATACATGTTTTTAAATTATGTTATGCACTACAAATATGAAAAAAAAACTAAGCCAAAGTGAATCCATTATCTACTTCTATATTTAATATAAATTATAAATGAAATGAGTCATGTAATTGCACTTGGCATGCTTGCGGCTCTAGATCTAGGATTTTCTAGAGCTACAAATGCACAGCTCTAGAAATCTATAGATTTCCTAGAGAGCTCTATCAAACGGGACCTTAATACAACATTTAACTTGAAAGAGAGGAAGTAAATGTTATCTTGTCAATCTATATAAAAATCAACATATTTATAGTCATTGGTAAGAAAAGTTTGACTTGGAACTATCCTATATGAATTCATACTCATCATGACAGTAGGAAGTAAAATGTTTGGTGTTGGCGCATGACCACGGATTGATAGACTAATTAAGGACAAGCTAGATTCTTGTCACTACTCCTTTTGAACTTGCAAGCTGTGTATGGACAATTTTTTTTACGTGCCACCTCATCTAGCTAGCTAGGATGAACCTAAGTTAGGTCAATGTACAACGCATCTCTGCTAGGAGCTAATTTAGCTCATGCTGTTTGATGTCCTTGATTACCCAATTATACATAGGTAAGAGCGAGCTAGTATTAGTACAACACTTGTCTACCAAATTAAAGAATCAAACCAATTGGATATTTTTTCCCTTTTCTTTCAACTGACGGAATAGACTAACACGCATGTTGGTAGTAGGAAATACAATTGGATTTCGCTCATGCTGTTTGATGTCCTTGATTACCCAATTGTACATAGGTAAGAGCTAGTATTAGTACTACAACCATTGTCTACCCCATTAAAGAATCAAACCAATTGGACATTTTCCCCCTTTTCTTTGAAGAGACGTAATAGACTACACCCTTGTTGGTAGTAGGAAATGCAACCGTTTCTAAGGGCAGGGGAAGACCAAAAAATTCTAAGCCTGGAGAATGCGCGTGCTGCATCCTCAGTTCCTCATCAGCAGCATCATTCTATTCGGCACGCTCTGGTTACATTTCAACAGGCAGTACGACACTCTTTGACCACTGCTAATAAGCAAGTAAGTCAATCAACTAGGGAATTATTCTGATTCCGTTCTGAATTTTTTTATATATAGCTGCCGGGTCCCGGAAATCTCAAGATAATTCATCAGTCCTTTCTGCCAATCATGAACAGGCTGTGTTTGAATTTGACCTTAGTTTGGAGGCAAAAAAGGTCATGAGATACCAACTAATGCCCAAGTAGTAGTATGTCCTTACTAGTAGTTTATACTGGACCTTCAATCCTGCAAGCATCTGCATGACAGTGTAGACACACCAACTCTTTGAACATTAGTTTGGAAGCAAAAAGTATCATCTCATGCTTTGGCTTTGGCACACAACATCACGTTGTTCCTATGAACGGACATGCATGCGCCGATCCAGCACTTGGCATTTATTGTTGGCACTGGTGAGCTACTGCCAAATTAAACGTTCAGATATTTGTATGTGTCGATCTCCTGATAGGTTGATAGACGACAAACCCATCTCAACAAACTCTTTTGCAGATATGTTGTGAACCGGAAATCGCTGCTAACGGCGGCACGCATGGCCGGCCATGCATGCAAATCTCCTTGCCGACTGTCGCATGTCGACCATGTACGTAGCTTGACAGGTGGAGATGGCGCCAAGCCAAGTTTCTTTGAGTGTCAGCATGGGCATGCAGATATCAGAGAAGCTCCGTCCGTCCTCTCGTGGGAAATGCAGCAGGAGTGTCGATAGCTATCTATACCTGTCTTGACATTTCATCGCCTGAATTCTCTGTTCCATTCATGCCAATGTCTGCTTCCAGCTGCAGTCATCATAAGCAAGAAATGACAAAGACACTGAAAATTGCAGATACCACTGAAACTTGTTAAGTAATCTACTGTTCTCTTGTGTGAACGCATAGCAGGGGAAGGCGGCGCCGAAAAGGCTCTCTGCTGTGGTACTGTAGCCACAGCAGGGGCAGGCGCCGAACGGCTCTCCTGCCGCACTGTAGCCACAGCAGGGGCAGGCGGCAAAGTCAACCCTGCTGTTACATCTAATCACTGTAGCAGTATGGCAGTTGTATTAGGATTAGATGGGTAGAGTTGTATATATAGTTTGCCACTGCAACTCAGTAAAGAGAGCGAGTTCAATTTTACCATCTCCTCTGCAGAGCTCCGGCCCACGCTGGTGCTTGTGCTGTGTGTGTGCTCTGTTCTCCCTCCCTTCTTCTACCTCTAACCATAGAGTGTGGTCGCCAACGACAGTGTCGTGATCGACAACGCTGGCGAGTGGTCGGCTCACCTCGTGCCGGGATCTAGGGGCTAACAAGTGGTATTGGAGCCGTATAAGCGCTGTCGCCGGACTAACCGCTGGCGATGACGGACGGTTTGGAGATGGGCGACAACATTGGAGCTGTTATGGCTGGCCAGCCACGACAGGAGGTCGTTGTGCACGGTGCGGGAGGTTAGCAGCACCAGTTGGCCAACGCTGACTTGCACCAACTATGGCGAGTGGTCGGTGACCATGAAGGTCAAGCTCAGAGCCCGACAGCTCTGAAATGCTGTTGACAAAGGCATCGACAACGAAGAAGATGACATGTCAGCGTTAGAGGCTATCCTCGCTGCTGTACCGGCGGAGTACAGTGAGCCGTTGGGGGTAAAGAGTTCTACTAAGGAGGCGTGGGAGGCCATTGCGGCGATACGCGTCGGTTCTGATCGTGCAAAGAAGGCGACGGCCCAGCTGCTGAAGCAGGAGTACGCCAACCTCAAGTTCAAGGATGGTGAATCGGTAGAGGACTTCTCCCTCCGCCTGCAGACGCTCAATAGCAAGCTGAGGAGCCACGGCGTCACCATCGATGAAGCGGAGGCGGTTTCCAAGTACCTCCACTCCGTGTCGATGAAGTACATCCAGATTATTTTATCCATAGAGACGATCCTGGACTTGTCCACCCTCACCATTGAGGATGTGATAGGCCATCTGTGGGCGGTGGACGAGCGCTTGGAGCAAGCCACAGCGACGAAGGACAGCGGCAAGCTGCTATTGACAGAGG